TGCTGCTGCTGCTGCTGCTGTCTCCGCCTGGTAAGGCCCATTCGCTACGATTGCACCACCCGAACCCGTCACTGCCGACAGCCGACATTTCACAGGGCAAGCCCGGCCCCGTCTTCCTCTCTCGCTCTCTCTCTACATCCCTCGATTGCGAGGCGCCCCCAAACGCCCCCTACCTCCGCCCCTACGTCCGTCTGTCGACGCACAACAACGCACGAACCCGGGATTCCATCGACCCGATCCTCCCATAAACCGCCAAGCTCAGGCGCATCGTCCATCCACTTCCCCTATGGCATCCCTCGCATCGGTTTCGCCAAATCCTTGTCTTGACCCGTCACCATCGACTCGACCCACGTATCTCCAGCTCGATCGCTAGCTTGGACTCCGCCTCGCTGTGAAAAGCACACACATCGTTGTCGACATCCTTCCAACAGTCTCAGTCAAGAAGGATCGCATAGCGACACTCGCATCCTCGCCAGCCAGCGCCCCGGTCCGCTTGCAGGCGTCCTTGAGCGTCGAGCGCTCGCCGACCCGCCTCACTCCGCTGGTCACACGCTACTGAGACAGCAGAGAAAGGTTATACACGCGCCGCCTCTGTTGCTTGTACAGCGCCGCTTCATCACATCCTCGTCCGCTCATCACCCTCCTTCGCCCTAGACGCAAGCGCCTTCTCCCAGCTGTATCACCCACCTGCTCTGCGACGACACGTACCCCTGCGCGAATCCTTGCCTCGTTCACGCCCTCGCTAACCGCTACGTCGATTGCCACCTATGGACGGTGATCCCTCCGGAGGGCGACCGCCTTCCAGAGATCGCTTGACCAATTCGTACGACCCTTACTATCGGAGTGATGTGCCAGCCCGCTACGATCCACTCCGCTCGCGTCCACATCCGGACGACGCACGGCGCTACTCGCGTCTCGATCCGGACCCGCCGCCTCAACCCTCGCGTCCCCATGCTCCGTGGCCAGACCGCGATCCCAACCAAGCGCAGTTTGGCCTGCGCGAGGCGCCGCCTGCCCGAACGACCCTTCCGTATCATCGGCTCGCCGATCCGATGGGTGCTCGATCCGCGCCGTTTCCCCCGACGGATCTTCCTCATTCCTCGCGCCCGATGCATGCCGATGACTACTACGCACCACGTCCTACCACCCGTCATCCATTGCAGGAAGGCGCCGTCGTCTCACACCTTCACAACCCTCGCTTGACTCGTCTAGAAAGCGAATCGCACCTCAACGATCCCCGCGCGAGCGGCGCCTTTGTGGCACCAGAGCCGCGCGACCTTCACCGGGCCTCGAGACCTTCGTCGGGAGATCCGAACTACGCTGACGCTCCACTCTACCCTGCAAGACCATCAGCTGCCCATTCGTCCGACTTTAGGACCGAAGCTCCGCTTGCCCGAGCGTCGTCCCCGCTTGCTTTGACGCTCAACTATCCAAGCGCACCCCCGCCGCGCCGCATCAGCGATTCGTCTGACGCGCTTATCGTCGACTCCTTAGATGCATCCTTTCATCGTGACAAGAGGGCCAGGCTTGAAGCCTTCTCCGACAGAGCTCCGGCGAGCTCATCCATGTTGCAACCGCCTCAATACCGTACAGCTCCCTCCCGCCGCCCGATGCCTTCCGCAGCGGAAGACTGGTCGGACAGTCCCGACCTTCGAGATCGCCGCCGCTCTCGCGACCCCATTGACACGCCTTACCATGGCGACATGCCGTCGAGCAGAAACGCTCGAACCATCGACTGGGTCGATCCCGAAAGGGGACAGCTGAGCCGACGCACCTCTGGCGTCTCGTACCAGACTTTGGAATCGGGCAACGACCGCAATGAGGCATCCGCCTTCAACGGCCAATCGAGCAAGGTCAAGAGGCGCAAGCGGGCCGTGCTGAGCTGCACGGAATGCAAGCAGCGCAAGATCAAATGTGATCGCAACGTGCCAAACTGCGGGAGCTGCGTTCGTCGTGGTGTCGCCCACCTCTGCCGCTGGGGCGACGAACGCGACTTTCTCCCGGCAGCTCCTGCCAGCAACATCACACCATCCAACGCCGCACTCATGGCGAGGATTGCTCAGCTGGAATCGCAAATCAGCGTTTTGCAATCCTCCTCGTCTTCTCCCTCGGCCGCCAACGACCACGCCCCATCGGAACGCAACACCGATCGCCACGCCTTGGACAAGCATGACCATGCCGCTACCTCCTCCGGAAGCCGCTCGTCTCGCTTCAGCGGCCCGTCCAGCATCCAGAATCCGCCTGACTTCACCAGCCGCGAACGCAAGGCCTACATCGAGCACGCCCGCAGCGCTTCTGGTCCCACGCGCGGACACGGCGATGACGACGACATGGAAGAAGATCAGAGCGACCAAAGCGAGGGCACGGACAGCGCCGAATCCGGCGCCGAGAACGCCGGCGACCTGCTCCAGGCTCTCGCACGCGGGACATCGCTCAAAAGACGCCGTCGCGGCGTGCATTCCACTTCTGACGCCGGCGTATCGTCTATGCGAGGCGGGCCTGATGTGCAGCAGATGCAAAGGGATCACTCGACTTTCAAGCAAGACGTGAGCTTCAATCGCTCCATCGAGGACGGCAAGGAAGTTGACCAGGAGGGGATGCCTTCCTCGACCGCGCCCAGAAGGACCTCCGATATGTCGGAAGAGAATTTTACTTCTGCAGCTACCTTCGACATGTTCGCCTCGAGCCTTGATGGCAAAGACCAGAGCGACCCCAAGGCAGATCTTCTAGCCGCTTTGGAGCTGCTACCCTCACGGACCAAGACGAAAGGGCTGATCGAACTTTACTTGCGAGAAGCTGAACCAATTGTGCAGTCCATCCACCAGCCTTCGCTACTGCGGCAGTACGATCAGCTCTGCACCACAGTCGATCATCTCAAGTCGGCCGACAACACGGGCGCAGCCCACGTATCGCTGCCGGATCTTCAGTTTGCAGCGCTGGTCCTTGCCATCTGCGAAGGTGCTTGCGAGTTCATGACGCCAAAAGAGGTGCTCGAGAGCGGAATTGGGAAATCTCGCAATTCGATCAACAGCCAGCTCATCTTGCTAGGTCGAACAAGTCTCGCCTTGCTGGGCAAAGCCAAGTTCGTACGTTCGCCCAACGTTTGGGGACTGCAAACCATCATCGCCTTGCGCCACTTTTGCTTTAACCGCGATCATCGTGAGGAGTATATCATCCTCTATACCATGGCCATCAAGGCGGCCGAGATGCTCGGACTGCATCGCCTCGGCTCGGCTCTGGTGGATGAAGAGCGTTGGGAGGAGGAGAGCCAGTCTGCGACAAGGACTGTTGGCGATTCGCGCGATCCCGCTTCAACTACGTCGCACAGGTGGAAAATGCTTACCTCAACGCGGATCCAGGACGGAGCCGAGACTGACTCGGAAGGTGAAGATCTCGATCCGGACCGGTCGCAGAGGCGGGATCTGAACGCCATGTGGCTTCCTCGCGGCTCCAGGCGCAGGAACTGGGAAATTGCAGCGGCCAAACGCTACAAGGACGGCAGCCGTGTTGACCGCGAAGTGGGGCGCAAGGTATGGTTCGCCTTCGCAACCATGGACTGGCATTGCGCCGCCCATTTCGACCGCTGCTATTCCTGCAAGGATGAGATGTTCTCGACGCAGAGCCCACAGAACATCGACGATGCTGACGTCACAGACAGCGAGTCTCTTGGGCTGGATCCAATCAAGCCGACCAATATGCCACGCCGCCACACTTCACGATTCCTCGAATGCATCCGCACCGTGGACGTGCCTACGACCAACAGCTTCATCCCGATCCACATCGAAATTTGCCACACGGTACGCAGCATCGCGGACGCGCAAAACCTCGGCGACGAATCCTTCGAAACGGTTCTGGCGATCGAAGCACGCTTCCGCGAGATCTTACGGTCGCTGCCGCGCTTCTTCCGTCTGGATGGGCAGAGCGAATACGATCCCGAGGTGCACAGGTATCACCGCGAGAGGCCCTATTTGTCGTTCCAGAGGGCCGTGATCCACGCTTATGTCCACCATCGGCTCCTCAAGCTGCATCGGCTCTACATGAGTCGCGGCTACTGGAACCCCAAGTACATCCACTCCACCCGGACGTGCATTGAGAGTGCGCGCGTGGTGATTGGCGTGCTGCGGGCGCTCGACCATGTGGGCTGCCGGGGGCAGCGCTACTGGATCTTCAAGTTCAACATCTTTCACGCGGTCTTGGCGCTGCAAGTCGACCTTCTGTACCTGGCGCGGCTGCCAGTCAGTCGAGAAATCCTGGCCAAGCGCGCCGACGTCGTGTCCGGCCTCAAGATGCTGCATGCGCGAACGGATGTCGAGGGTCGTAATCCGTTGCTTGCTTCGTCTCTCAAGGTCATCAAGGTGCTCAGCGAGGAGGAAAAGGCGCGACGAACCAAGAACGAGGCAAGCTCGGAAGCAGCAGCCGACTCCGAAGTGGCCGCCGCTGCGTCCAGCTCACCCGGCGACGGTTCGTCTTCGACAAGGAAGAGCAAATCGCGCGGCTGGACGGGGGCGTCCGAATCGACGGGTGACCTGGCCGAGCATCTGGAGCGGCGGATTCAGGAGACCTGGTGCACGGTCGAGGTCGAGAGTCTTCGCGCACGGACTGAAGCAAACAGCGATGTTGTAGCCGAGGCAAGCCCGAAAAACGCATTGAACCGTCCGCTCGCGGCGATCTCGAGGACTCCCTCTACGGAAGACGGATCTTCGCTGCACACTGTCGAGTCGGATGCCAAGCTGGCTGATCTGGGTCCAGCTGCCGACCTTGCCGACATGCGGGATAAGGTATTGCCAGGTCAGGAAAGGCGCGATTCGGAGCTCGAAGACTACCTCAAGCTGCTCTCGTCGTATCAAAATCCAGATGATGCTCCGGACGGCGCGCACTTCTTCGACGTTCTCGATGATCTTGCCTACCAGAAAGATCCCTCTGCTAAGCTGCCCACAACGCGCGACGCGGTTCAACCCTTGCCACTGCTGCGCACTCCCGATGATCTCGCTGTTGCCGGCGCGGGATTCGACGCCTTCACGGCAGCCTAACAAGCACATACCCTTTTGTACATTAGTCTTCGTAAGCTCAATGGCAACGGTGTCGAAGCAATGCTCAACTTTGCCTCAACACGGAAACCATTTTCGCGTTTGGACATTTTGAACGAAGACTCACACGCGTGAGTGTGATGGTGGGAACAGAGATTGAAATTGCGGAAGGAGAGGGATGTGCGCCGATGTGAAAGTGCGCGAAGGAGTAGAATGAGCGGAACAGGGGAAGGGTTGGTCGAGTTTGGCGCGAATCTGAGAAGCGGAATTGTTGGGCGATGCGGCGGTCGAAAGGGCCCCCGTCACAATGACGCCGGTGCGGAAGTCTTTCTTGAGGGCGCAGACACCGATTGAGGCCAGTTCGGGATCGAGTCCATTGTCAGCGTCAAGGACCCGTGAATAACACTAACGTCTGAAGTACCTGACGCTGAACGCTGGAGCGAAGTGGTCAACATCGCCGACTTCTTCTCTGAACTTGTCTTTGTCTTCAACGTTGTAAACCTCCATGACGAGTTGAGCCGAGTGGTCTGGAAGAATCCCCATGTATTGGAATCGCTGGAGTCGCGGGTCGATCGAATGACGGGCGTAAGTCTCCTCGAATTCGTCAGTTGGGATGCGTCTGCCGACATTGTACACGTGCTGCGAAGGGATTCTCTGATTGTCGGGAAGGTTGAAGAAACCCTCCCAGGTCTGACTAGGGCCTGGGCCCACCTTTTCACAAGGCTGAAGCTTGTGGTACCGGATCATGGTGTGCATGCCAAAGCACCGATCGACTGTAATCTCTTTGATGAAACGGTCCAGGTCGTCGACTTGATAGCGAGCCGATACAACAGAGGCGGGAGCTTCGCCCATGTCGAAGCAACGATGTCGCAGGTAGCGAGGATCGCTCTTGAAGGCGATGAGGCGGTTCTCCAAGTCAGCGCGAGGGATGCGCCAGACGACGAGGACATTGCCGTGGGGTTCAATTTTCTGGCGGGAGGAGAAAGCCTTCCTCATGTCGTCGATCCTAGCGCCATTAGTCTCTTCTAGATGAGCCAGATCCAGATGACCTACAAATGATGTATACATTCGGTAGAAGGAAGAACCGCGAATCTCTTCGACGAAGCTGTCGAGTTCGCCGTACGCAAGGTGGTAAGATCCCGAGACGATGTGAACAGCGTCTTCGCCCATGCCAAGGTAGTGGTGTCCTACCAGACGCGTGTCTGCTGCGAAGAAGGCGAAGAATTCGTCGAATCTGTCGTCAGGGACATGCCAGGCAACGCAGATATGGGGCTGCCGCTTCACTGGCGGGGTCGTTTCCTGGTTGAGGCCGAACTGAGCTAAGAACCAAGACAACATGGTCGACGCTGAGAGGGTGAATGCGGGAAAGTGGGAGACGTGAGGTAGGGCATGGGTCTCTTTATAGCCAGCAGATGGAAGTCTCGACAGCAAGCTGCGCAGCGGGAGCGTGACAAATGAAGTGCGCGGAACTCTGCCGAACTGAGCTTGACTGATTCGCAACCTCATGTGACTCCTCCGTCAGTATGCGGAGAGTGGTTGCGATGCGCAAGTGCGGCGTGATCGTCAGCCGCTCCAAGAGGGCGATGATTCACGCTTACATCCACCATCGGGCTCTCAAGTGGCAACAAATCCCCAAGCACGTTCATTACACAAGCTACTGAGGCCGCAATGCCTTCACTCCACAAGGACGTGCGACGACAGTACCCGTTCCCTGCAGATTGTGTCGTACTACTCAGTGCAGAAAGCGTTTGAAAGTTCGTTCGGGTGCGGACCAGTGCGGCATTATGATCTTTTGAGGAGTGCTGCGCAGCGAGAGCATCGGACGCTTAATCGTGTGCGAAAGGGGGCGGCATTGAGCTTATGCGCGAGGACGTGCACGCTGTGCGGGTCCCACTGAATATCGTTCCATCGTCACGCGGAGCCGTTCAGCAGCGGAAGTATTATCTCGGAGCTTGCGCAACTGAAATGGCTCAGTCGTGTCCTTTCTGGATATCCCATTGGCGGGCGGCTCGCTTTGCACTGGCCAGGCCGAAGCCTCCACCAACCATCGAGCCCTCATGCGCATCCTGGCAACGCCCCAGCCAAAGCTCGTCCTCCGCCTCGTTGCGGTGCGCTTCATTGAAGCCTGCGTTACGTGTCCATCTTCATTCGAGTGCTTCAAAACAAGGTTGACGCTCCTGCTATCTCGCTCCACGTTGCACATCCTGGGAGTTCCTCGCATCCTGCACCGCACAACACCGCTGTTCACAGACGTTTCGGGAGTGAAGATTCCAAACACAACCTTTTGCATTCCTTTTTTCTGCAGTCAAGGTCGATCGCACAGAATTGAGCCCGAAGCCAGCGACGAATCTGAACCTGAGGCTGATTTTACTTGGAGAGGTAGGTGTGGGTCTGAGTGAGGTCCACAGACTTTTCCTCCTCGTCGTCCACATTCTTGCTGTGGACGGGAAGCTCGGGCTGAGCCTCGGCGGTGGCAGCGGCGGCACGCTCGAACCTGGCGCCCTTCTTCTCGGGGCCCACGGAGGCGGTGAGTGCGAGGCCGATCGCAATGATAGCAGTGGCGATCGCCATCACCGGACCGTACGCCTCGACGATCTTGCCGTTGGGAGCGCGGATGAAGTTGTTCTCCGAGAGGTAGTTGATGAGCTGGGTCGAAGGCGACGAGATGGCGTTGCCCAGCTGGTAGGTCAGGCCAACGAAGATGGCACGGAATGCAGGAGGCGAGATCTCGGACAGGTAGATGGGAACCACACCCCACGCGCCCTGCACGCAAGCCTGGAAAAATGAAATGAAAAAAAAAAAAAAAAAAA